ACATTGAGTTAGCAGCTATAATCTTGACTGGCCAATTCAGAGGGTTATCCCTTAGGAAATCGTTGACTTCTCTGAGGAACTGCTTGACAGTCCTTTCAGCTTCATTCGAAAGCTCTTCTAATGTTTCCTTGGAGGTTCTGCCGTGGAGACTTGTTTCGCAGAGATCCTTATCTTACCACTTGCAATATACATTAACTCCTACCCATACAACATCTGCTGCATTTCTGATGATTGCTAAAGCCCCATTTTTGTCCAGGCTTTTCTCCATAAGTTTTAAGAAGGAAAGGCCTTCTCTGACACACGTCACTAGCTGATTGCCATTGTCATTTGAAATGTTGGGAAGTGCAATTGCGATGCATGTAAGAGTCACCACAGGTAGAGACCAGCTATTAGGAGGCTCCTGAGAATGTAAACTTGGAACTCGAATATTGTCGAAGTCTCTCACCCCATTGAAGTTGTTACATTTATGTAGAAGTTCGATTAGGATGATGGGCTTCTGTCTTTTTCCTTTCTCCATCATCTTGTCCACCTCATTCCAGATGTTTTTGAGGGTCTCTTTGGGAATTCCAGGCTCTCCTTGAAGTAGAAGAACATAACGAGTAAGATCCAACAGTGCATCACCACCAGATTCCAATCCTCCATTATTTGAAGCACCAATAACAAATATCTTCAACTTCTTGATGTGGTGGAAGAACGAGGCAGAAATGAGAAGAACAAGTTTGCCTGCCCAAACCAGTAGAATCTGTACTCCAAGGTAGCAATTCAGAACTAGTCGTCTTTTAGCATGAAGAAATTTTTTCCACTTGCGATGTCGAACTTGTAAAGGTAGTGAGCTTTCTCTCAGTCCACAAGTCTTTGAATCCAATAAGTCTCGATTTTTAACTTGCTTTTGAAGAATTTCTAGCCTATATTTGAACACTTAAACCGGACAGCACTAAACCATCTGAATGCAGGGGCAATAGTACCCAATGGCACTCCAATTGACTGAACGTATAAAATCAATTTGATTGACCACTTGTAGGCCGAAGCAGTGAACTTAAATTTATGGTATGCTATTGGCATCCGAATATGAGCTTCTGCTAAAGTGAGAGCAACTAATACACACATCAAACCTATAGTAGTGCAACTCACACTACGCGCCATTACAAACTGGGGGCATCCTGTTACTGTTCACCTAATATTTTTTTTCCACTAGTCTCAATTTGTCAACTGGAAATTTTGGCCCGTCCAATTTTTCTTCATCTAAGGCTATTTTTCGCATTTCTTGGTACTTGCATTCTACATGACATTGGGTAGTTAGAATGGTCAAAGCCGAAGAACAAAACATAACAAGTGAAATAAACATAAAACCCTTTGCTACCATTTCTTCGCAAAATACTTGAAAGGCAACATAATAAGGACACGTTTGGATAATGTGGACATAAACATTACCAATGACTGTAATTATCATAGTTCCTAAAGCAGCTAGGTTTAGTAGCATCTCATTATTGCCAAGGATCCCAAAGATGTCATAAAATTTGCCATCACAGTTGACATGAAAACGAGGCTACTAACCCGTGCAAGGATTTCATAGATCCCCAACATATTAGCAGTAAAATCCATTAGTAAGTTTTTCTTCATGGCTCTTAGACAATGCATTCGAAAATTTCGAAATGCGATGCTACCCCTAATTTTAGTCGATGTAAAATTCTGAAAACTAGATATGGAGGCATGTTAATTATTGCTACGTGTCAAGAGCCAACATCCAAATTTACCTTCTTACATTCGGTATAGTTGATAACGAGAATGACCGTCAATGCATTTGTTCTTCACAAAGCTGAGAGAAGTAATCTGGGAAGTCGAGGACTTTGCCTTTGTAACTGATCGGGGACCATCTATAATAAATAATATCGTTGAAGTTTTTCTCGAGGCACGTCATGGATATTGCATGTACCATATA